GGCTATTGCTGGGGCCTGTTTCAGGCCCTGAATTCATTAGTGTTGGGAGGAGATAAGGAATTGCCTCGAAGTAGTATTTTACTGGAGGGCTTTCCATATTCCAAAGGCAAAGGTTTCCAAAAGCTTAGAACAAGAGTGCTATATTTAGTGAGTCACATTTTTTTTCTAAACCTTAGAAATTATTCAAAGACACTATATTTTTCCAATCAATTTGTTAGACTACATCAGTGCCCTGTGACTAATACTTGGTGCCTCATTGATCCTGGGGGAAAGAGGTTTTCTGACAGTAAATTCTTTCCTAAAGAAGCTATATCCTCACTTATAATATTCCATGGTCCCTCTTGCCAGTTGATCAATTCTCTTCCTCCTAAAGAAGCACCAAGCCAGGCCGCTGGCTTTTCCTTCTCTCCCTCCTCTTACTCCTTCCTTTTTTCCCATAATAAATATTACTTATGAAATGTCTATTATATGCTAGATACTAAGAACACAAATGAATGAGGAAATTACTTGGATTTATGTAATAAAGAGATGTAGGGGATACGCTGGGTCTTTACTGACACATCCATGTAACAAATATTGATCAAGAACAATTCATAATCGGGCTCTGTGTTGACAGTTCAGAGCCTGGAGCCTGATTCAGATTCTCTGTCTCCCTCTCTCTGCTCCTCCCCAACTCATGCTCTCTCTTTCTCAAAAATAAATGTTAAAAAAATTTTTTTTTTAAAAAAGGGCAATTCATGATCATTTTGACTTTAAAGATCTCCCTCTTCCATATTTCTCATAGATTCATCAGGGGCACAGAATCCTAAGAAAACTGAAAAAAGTTTAAATGTTACAAAGACTAGAAGAGTTAAGCATTAATCTAAAATATGATTACCAGGGCGCCTGGGTGGCTCAGTCAGTAAGCGCTGGACTTTGGCTCAGGTAATGAACTCAGGGTTTGTGAATTCAAGCCCTGCATCAGACTCTGTGCTGAAAGCTTGGAGCCTGCTTCGGATTCTGTGTCTCCCTCTCTCTCTCTGCCCCTCCCCTGCTCATGCTCTGTCTCTGTCTCTCAAAAATAAATAAATGTTTAAAAGTAAAAGTAGGGGTGCCTGGGTGGCGCAGTCGGTTAAGCGTCCGACTTCAGCCAGGTCACGATCTCGCGGTCCGGGAGTTCGAGCCCCGCGTCAGGCTCTGGGCTGATGGCTCAGAGCCTGGAGCCTGTTTCCGATTCTGTGTCTCCCTCTATCTCTGCCCCTCGCCTGTTCATGCTCTGTCTCTCTCTGTCCCAAAAATAAATAAACGTTGAAAAAAAAATTTTTTTTAAAGTAAAAGTAAAAGTAAAATAAAATAAAATAAAATAAAATATGATTACCTAACCTCAAAATAACAGATTTCAAAATATTTTAATTCTATTTTATATAAATAAGATCTAACTCTCAATACTTTCAGCCTTTTAATTTTTATATAATTCTAATCTACAAATCATTCTCTGGGCTTTCAAATTTCTTTCTATCATTAATGTAGTATATAAAATGGTCTCTTTGAGGCAAAATCTTAGGCTTTTAAGTAGAACTTTTAAAATTCAACAAATATTATTTATTGGGTTTCTCTACTAGAAATTAGGTCAAGTTAGGAAAACAAATGAAAACACATAGTTCTTATCCCCAAGGAGTTTTAAAAATCCTCAACATTTAGTATTTTCACAGATTTTCAAACACTTACTATATCACAGCAGAAAGAATAAAGTCTTTAGCAGTAGAGAGAGTGAAGTTGAGTCCCAGCTTTATTAAAGGGTAAATGTAAGCAAGTTATTTATTCCCTCTACACACTGACCTCTTCCTCTGTAAAATGAGGATAACATCATCTCCCTTGAAGAGTTGCTGTAAGTACAACTAAAATGTGTAGTAGAATGTCTGATCTAGAGAGGATCTATTATAGTCATTTTTCAGTTCTAAACAATCAATACAAAAACTCAGCATTTATACCAATAATTATCATCCTATCTTTCAGAAAATGCTACTGGAACCAAATTACATGCAGATGGGCATGTAAGAAGTACAAAAATTCTATCTGTGATGCTATATACTTCATATCATCTTATAAATATCCAACATATTTCTAACTGACAAAGAGAAAGGCAAAATCCAGTTTGAGGAAATAACATTAAATAAGTCATATGCACAACATAGTAAAGAACCTCCCGGATAAGTATACTGGGCTTCTCAAGCATACAGAATCTAGTAAGTACTCGTTTAGGACTTCCACAGAACCAACTTGCATCAATCAAAAACATACACCTGGGTGGCTCAGTCAGTTAAGCATCTGACTTTTGGTTTTGGCTCAAATCACGATCTCTCTGTTTAGTTGGTGGGTTTGAGCCATGCGTTGCACTCAGGCTGACAGTACAGAGCCTGCTTGGGATTCTCGCTCTCTCTCCCCTGGTCTCCCCAGCTCAGGCAAGCGCACATGCGCTCGCGTGCGTTCTATCTCAAAATAATGTTAAAAAAAAAATACAACTTAAAAAAAAAAACAACACGAAAAAACTACTTCTTAAGACCAGAGTTCCTAGACTTTAACCCCAGAGGCTCAGCAGCTGCCCTGACAGGTAGTTGAAAAACCAAGACTCCCTTTTTCTGATAACAACATCCACAAAAGCTTTTAGAGCGATAGTTGCAGATTTGTTAGAGACACCTAAGAAAAGACCAAGTCATCTTTTGAACCAAGTATAACCCTCCTACTGAACTTACCTGTAATAAAAATATTTCAATATTCTGAAGGAGTTAACATGCCCTCCCAAAGTGTGGAATTTGAATTTTGGAGTAAGAAGGACCTTAATAAGCTCCTAGTTTCCCATCCTATTCCCATAGCAATTTAAGAAGAAACTGAAGCCAAGAGAGTGAGTGAGCCAGAGCACAGAATCCAAGGCCCCTGACTTCCAACCCAGTGATCTGCTCACAAGAGCAAGCTTCGACTTCTATTATAACAAAGGAATGATTTATGCATATCTGGCTAAGACAACAGAAAACAGTTCTAGAAATATGTTTCAGTTATTACTTAGTGGGCTTTCAATAAATAAACTTTTAGCCAAGGTGAAGAAAATCATTAGGATATTATTCTAAAAACTAAAGCAGCATTATCTGCTTTGCTGAATTTGAGGGACATCAAAAATTGCTGTGACTGCCTCTCACTTTTTTCTAAGAAAGGTTATAATATAAAGCAAGTAGGCAAATCAACATACTTAGAGTTGAGAAAATTAATGATTTATCTGTTACCAGATGCAAGAATCCTTTCTAGGAGATTCTTTTTCTAGAACATTTTTCTTTTAATTTCTTGTTCAGCTTTTCAAATATTTAAAGCTAATGAGTAGTTTAGCTCATCATTCCTTTTTCTCTTTTTCTTGATAAATATATATAGAATATTAAAAAGTATTTGGACATAGCTCATACAAATAATATTCAGCTCTGTTCAGTTCAGCAAAGGTCTATCATGCCCCAGGTATTGTGCTAGGTTCTAGGAATACAAAAAGAAATGAGAGATAGTCCTCGCCCTAGGAGATTATAATACAGTAAGGGAGGGATGCCTGAGTGACTCAGTTGGTTAAGCATCTGACTGCAGCTCAGGGCATGATCTTGAGGTTCATGAGTTCGAGCCCCATGTTGGGCTCTGTGCTGACAGCTCCGAGCATGGAGCCTGTTTCGGATTCTGTGTCTCCCTCTCTCTCTGTTCCTCCCCTGCTCACACTGTCTCCCTCTCTCTCAAAAATAAAGATTATATATACACACACACACACACACACACACACACACACACACAGTAAGGGAGAAAAGCATACACAGAAATAACTTCATATCTAATAACAAGTGCTAAAATATATCATGTACAATAATAGTTAGATACAAGATTAGAGAACAAGGAAAGGATCAAAATGAAGGATACCAAGAATATAACAGCAGGCATTTTGGCAGGGTCACAAATTTAGATCCAAATTCCTGGATTGAAAATTCTACATAAAATGCAAACAATAGTTCGACCTAACCTAAACAAAAAGAAATGAGAGATAGTCCTCTCTCTAAACAAAATGTGATGGTTTTTAGTAATCAGACAGAATAATGAGGGACAGAAAATATTCCATTTTGGATTGAAATGTTTAATACATTTAGTCAGTAACTGTCTATAATTAACAGTAACTTTCATTTCTACATGGTTCTCAATATTGGGATTTTTTTCTTTAAGTTTATTTATTTTGAGAGAGAGAGACAGTGTGAGTGGGGGAGGGTCAGAGAGAGGGACAGAGAGAATCCCAAGCAGGCTCCAAGCTGTCAGGGCAGAGCCTGACACAAGGCTTGAACTCCCAAACCGTGATGTCATGACCTAAGCCAAAACCAAGAGTCAGATACTTAACCAATTGAGCCAGCCAGGCACCCCAATTATTGGGGTCTTTTTTAATGAAAACAAGATACAAGGTAAATGTGAGAATGGTTCTTATTTGTTTCAGGTTTGTTTGTTTTTTAAACTACCTTGTCATTTTAAATTTCTTGGTTGTAAGACGATATTGCTTGTCTACCCCGGATTGTTCACAGCCCAAGAAACATCACTCCCTCTGAAGCAGTATCTGCCAATGGGGTAATTAGGACCAAAGTAAAGGGGAAATAGTTTAGAATCATCTGAAGAGTTTTCCAAATTGTGTCTTACAACTATCGCAACTAACAGAAAGTCAATGCTTTAGAGGTGTGCTGCAGACCCAATAACAAGGATTTAAATTAAGGGTTTACCTGAAACTAAATTTAGAAGCTATTGTCCCCTAAGGCCTGCAAATAAAAAGGATCTAAAAGACAGAGAGAGAGAGAGAGAGAGAGAGAGAGAGAGAGAAATGAGGACAACACTGAGGGTTTCTGAAGATACCTATGTCTGCAGAGATTCAGGCTCCCAGCTAGACCCATAGTCGGGCAATAACCAAAACGAAGAAATCATTTCCAACGCATTTATGCACAAGCAGTTCACTTTCAGTTGCTTACCTCCAATATTCTGAATTATGATGGTGCCTGCTACCACCATCTATGAAAGAACAAATATATTCAGAAGATGAAAGAAATAATAGAAAAGGATCAGTATTTTATTAAAATCCAACAACTATTACTAAAAAAAACAGATGTAGAGGTTGAGTGAAGAGAAACCAAAAAGAATACATTTTGTCAGCCATTTGTAATACATAAAACGAATTATCATCACATAAAAAGCCTTTCTTTAATAGTTCCACGGTTACTATAAAGAATTCTTTTGAAAATTTTCTTGGCAGTCATTTTCAAACAGTTAAAAGTGTTAAAGAGCTAGTAATTGGTGGTTATCAAAGTACCAAAAAATTGAAATTAAATCTATCTGGTCTCCTTCTCCCCTTTTCACTGGTTTAGTAGGTAGAACGTGACATTGCTTTAAGAGGTAGACTGCGACAGCTTGAGGTGTGCTGGGCCGATGCTGTTTTGCATAAAAGGAAATGATTTAGTCTTCTGAGTGTGCCGGCTTGGCATACACCAAGGCCTGGGACATCCTGTCCCAGAAAAAGTCTAGAGCAGAAAACTCTAGAGCCCACACATCCCAGACCTGAAATTTTAAGCAAACTATTTCAAATTCACTAATATAGAGCGGGCTCAGTGTAAGACAACAGAAGGTTGTGAAGACCACAGTCTATCGGAGAACTCCTCCCCTTTCAAAATGGGGCAACTACTACTCAGCTCTGGCCAGTTGTTGGCATGTGAGAAAGTGAATCCAATGTAGCTAGATCTTCTCCATTCCCTTAATTTTTCAAGGAAAGTCAGAAACTGAATTCTTTCAAAATTTCATAACTCTTAGTTGGCAATTAGTTAAACATAAAAAAAATTTAAGCCAAACAAAATATGCCTAAGGACTAAGTTCAGCTTGTAGGGCTTGATGACTTGTGATTCTGATGAGATTCCTGGGGAACTCTAGACATTTTATCTATTCTTAGTAATCAGATGTACTCAGAGCAAATGATGAAACATTCTGCTTCCACCTGGGCCTTTCAATCACATGAATTTTGGTGGATCTGTACCCCCAATGTATGCTCAGAGTGGACTAGCTATGTAGGATAACTCAGTTCATGGACTGGGAGCAGATCACCTTTCAGACTCACCTCTACTAGAAATTCCAACAGTGGCACAGCATTTGCCTATCCTGGAAACCCTAGAGGACTTGGGGTTCACAGAGCAGGATTAATGAGAGGTGTCTTTGAAGATGTAGTAGTTGCCACTCTAACATGTCCACAAGAAAGTTTGTGTATCAACCCATTTAAAAAGTACAAAACCTCACAGTTACTTGTGAAAAGGCTATTTTGAACTTTTGCACACTATTTCTCATATGCAATTTGTATCTATTGTCAGTCATACATGAAATTTGGATTTCTACTAATATATTTCAAAAAAAGAATATCAACTTATTCATGATTATGTTTCCATTTTTGGCTGCATTTAAGCACTTAAGATCTAGAAAGTCAGTATGTCTGTCTACCTATGTAGGTCTTCATAGCCTACTAGTATACCAGTATAGTGCATGGCGGATGGTATTGACCTGATAAATATTTGTTTGGTGAGCATATAAATGGATTTATAGACAATTTTGAAAATCTTTCTTAAAAAGTCCAAAAAACTTAAAAATATTTAATTCTCAGAGCAATGTTATCTTATGTCATATCCATATCTGTATCATATCTGGAAAGAAGGAAATAGGAAAGTTTGAACCCAATTGTGGAGGTGGAGAGGAAATATAAAAAAAGCAAACAAACAACAACTCCTCATTTAGAGAATCTTCTATGTACCTGCCTACTAAGGACTGAGTGCATACATAATGATAATGCAACTATCTAGAGTTTTAGGAAAAGGGGACTCCCAATAGTCCATGCTTTTTTAGACTCTGCTGCTATTCAAGGAATGCAGGAAATACTAGAGTGAAATAACAGTGATAATGCTTAGAGTCATATTTATAGATCATATTAAATTAATAAGAGTTTTCTTACATAAATAACATTTTCTTCTCGCTTGGTTAAAGTGGATGCAGGAAACTGACCATGACTATACCAAACATCCCGACCTTTAGGAAAGAGAAACTGGTACTAGGATGATTAACAAAACCCTTTACCTGAAAGTAACATACTCTTCATTTTGTTCAAGTTGCAGGTTGTTAAGACGCGGTCCAAACTATGAGGCTACATAGCATGATTTAGATATTCCCTTTTGTATGTTAAGAACAAAGTTAATGTGAATGTAAATCCAGGGTTGTTTCCCCTGTTACATAGCTAGATCTTTTTCCTCCCATTTTCACTTCTTAGAAGTGGGTTTGGCCATCTACAGATACTGTATCCTTTAAGATTACAAACAAAATAAACAAACAAAAAACATAAACAACAGATTGGCAATGGAAAGAAAAAGTCCTATTTGCAACCCACATGAAAATGGGTTTTCGAAGTACGATAGATCTTCAGAAATAAAGTACTACAGAACTAACAAAAATATTTAACTCCTGATTATCTGTGGAAGAAGACATTGTTTTCTCTACCTCTCAGTTTAGTTTAATATGCCTATCACAAGTCAATGCCCAATTAATATTGCTGTTATTTCTATTCTGAGGAAGAAGAGCAGTTCATTTAGAGTCTGAAGTTCTACAACGTTAATACTAGCTTTAAGTAACTGTGGACAAATAGGCCCCTTCATTTCTCTGGGCCTTAATTTCCTCACCTATAAAAGAGGGAATAGCTATATAATCTTTTCGCATTGTTCAGCTTATAAATGATATAATCTAATGATTAGTTTTATAGTCATGCTATAATCTTAATTCTATGCTTCTTTTTTTCCCTATGTTTATGAAGATTAGTTAATGTTGCCAAAATTAATTTAAAAAAACTTAAAACAGGTCATTGTTACAATTTTAAAATTATTCACATCACCCCTCCTTCATTAGGGTGAAAAATAGATTTAAGTGTTAAATTTATTGATTCCAGAAGCACATAGAAAGAGAGATTCCTTCTCTCTCTCTTCCCACCATTCTGTCTTCCTTCATTTCCTTTCATTCCCTTGAATTTCTTTCTCTTGGATATATTTGTCTCTTTTAATTAGAAATGGAAGGGAAAAAATGCCTGTATAGATTTTGGAGACAGTAAAGAAAAAAAAATTACCTTTCCAGGTAATCCAAATGCAAAGAGTCCAAGATCTTCATAAGATGTCACAGCTGTGAAGAGACATTATAATTTTTTACTTTTACACAAAACTACTTGTGTGCCAAGTTTTAAAGGGAAGGAAGGAAGCTATTCCACTACTACCTTATAGCTACTGGATGGTCACACTAAATTTAAAGCAGAAGTAACCACTTCTGAGGGACTTTTGACAACTTACAGTCTCTAAGGATGGAGTCTTCTTAAAATAAGTAGAACTTAGCAAATCCCAAGGTTATCTGACCACCTCCCAGGCTGCATTAGTTCAAACACACTAATTACTCAAGAAGAACCCCACTTCTCTGAGGGGCACCTGGGTGACTTGGTGGGTTAAGCGTCTGACTTCGGCTCAGGTCATGATCTCGCAGTTTGGGATTCGAGCCCCATGTTGGGCTCTGTGCTGTCAGCGCAGAGCCTGCTTCGGATCCTCTGTCTCCTTCTCTCTCTGCTCCATCCCTGCTTTTTTTCTCTCTCTCAAAAATAAACATTAAAAAAAGAGAAGAACCTCTCTTTTCCCTACACACTATTTGCATACTACACTAACCAAGAGTAGGTTTTCATTGGCAATCATTTCTGAAAACTGCATATGTAAATAAGGTTAGATAAAGTATGAAAGTTCTATCATACTTTCCGAGACCTTCAACTTTTTCTTACCCAACATTAGTAGGGCATACACTTTCTCTTTTCATCATAAAAGGGTATAAAGGGTATAAAATTACATTTTCAGTCCACACGTTCAAGAAATGTGGTCACAGAAAAGATGAAAATTAAACGGCTCAAAAAAGAACCAAATTTGTCCTTAGCCTATATAGTTTCATGTTCTAACTAATGACACCACCAGTAAAAATAAGAGAAGTAAAAACATTTGTGTAATCCTATAGTTTGAAAAGTGCTTAATTCTATAGTGCTTACACTAAAAAAAAAGCAGACTGGCAGATAGTTAAGTCTTGGTACAGCAACATCTCCTATTGAGTCAAAGACATGGTTCAGCATTTTTTTTTTTTTTTGAAGTATATTTACTTTGAGAGAGACAACATGAGCTGGGGAGGCACAGAGAAAGAGGGAGAGAGGATCCCAGACAGGCTCCACACTGTCAGCGCAGAGCCTCACAAGGGGCTTGATCTCACAAACCGTGAGATTATGACCCGAGCTATAATCAAGAGTCAGACTTAACCAAATGAGGCACCCAGGCGCCCGGGCTCATCATTTCTTAAACCAAGTTTTAATATATTCTCTCAAGACACACACGAGTCTTCTTTCGATTGTCACTAACAAAAAGTTCCGCTGTACTTTTATACACAAAGACCACCAGGTGTGTAAAGTTAAGTGTTTTAAAAACCATGTATGACTTTTACATGTTATGACTACAAAATCAGAAAGAAAATAAAAGTGTTGAAAAAATAAGTTGTACTGATTAAGAACAAAAACTTAAACATTTTTAATTGCAAAATTAAAATTTTTAATTTTAATCTATTATCAGAGTTGATCAAAGAATTTAGAAAGTTTTTAGATGTCACAGCTGTTTTTTTTTACATCTATTTTCAGACTGCTAAACACAGTGAACAAAGAATTTAGTTTTGAACTTGGGATATATAATGTGTATAAGTAGGAACTTTTATGCTTTAACAATGAAAGACTTCTACAATAATCTCACATGGGTAGATTTTGGATATATGTTAGAACATAAAAATTAAAAAGCAGAGTTACAAAACTAAGAACTGGAAAATTTTCCTCCTATGTGAAATGCCAAAATTCTTTTTTCCATATAAACATATTCTAAAGGGTATCGCATCACAAAAATTATTATTTTTATCAATAAATCTTTACTAGTTTGTTTTAATTTTCCTAAACAAATTATTAAAATATTTATAATGTTATATAGGGTTATTCCTTAACTTTAACATTCCAAAGTCTAGGTGTATATATATTAAACCAGAAAAACTATCTAAATGTTAGCTTCTATCTAATTTGACATTGAGAAGGTAATTTGGTTCAATATTATGTGTATGTAAACCAAGTCTCCAGAAGGGCTCTGATCTCTCACTGAAGCATGAGATTAAAGGAACATCGTTGTTCAATTTTAGCACCCTTCTTTTATGTTATAGTTAAAATTATCCGTTCTTTGTTAAGAAAAACTTCCCTTCTAAGAATTTAAAGCAAAGAGGCTTTTCAGTGTCACAAATGGGAATATATTGAATAATTTGCTTTTAGAATGACCTATGTAGAGTTTCTCGGTCAATGAGCAAGTTATCAAGACGATACTGATCGAAAAGTTTAAGGTTTGTTTCACTTTTGAACAGCGGAAAACAAGTATAGGTTGCATATTTAGTAAACATGAAAAGCAAGTAACTTTCCCATAAGCAAAAGTTGTAACACTGTAAGACTCCAAAAAGAATTTGTATTTTAATTACCTAAATAAATTAAACACTTATTCTTAATTTTTATATTACAACACAACCTTTATTATTACAGAAAATATAATCAAACTAATAGCTCAATAAAGATAAATGTAATCGCAACCTCTGACAGTAGTGACATACATTTTAGCAATCTCAAACTTGCTCTCTGTTACTTTCTAGTTTTACAAAAATATGTCTAAATACAGCAAACTCCCAAATTCAGAGTGAAAAACACTGAGACGTCTAAATGGAAACTGAGTACAATGTTCAAATCCTCACTCTATCTTTCAGATCAGCATGTCTGGCTAGCCATTCCGTTTTGTCACTGTCATCATACTTCTTTTATGTTGCAAAAATTAGAAGCATTTTCCCATGTCTAAGACATCACGGATATGAATAATGGCTTCTGGCTTAACATTGAGGCTTTACTAAAATATGTACACAGTCAGCCAAGTGCTTTATCTCTACATATTCTCTTTTTGATGGTTTTCTGGATCATCTCAACTGATAAACCAAAACAACCCTAGTGAAATATTCTTAAAGTTCTGTTCTGGCATTTGGGCAGTTAAGATGCTGGTTACAGTGTAAACTGGTGTGACTTTTGGAATGCAGTTTGAACAATGGACCTTTAAAATATAACATTGGAGTTTTTGCATCTTAGGAAATAACCCTAAAATAAGACAAAACATTATATGCAAGGTTTACACTGAAAAAAAAAATGACCTAAATGTTCAACAATGGTAAGTGGTTAAATTATAGTTAAGTATACCTGATAGAGTAATATATAGCCATTAAAAACTATGTTTATAACATGAAAAATGTCAATATTGACTGAAACAATTGGATGAGAATATGATCTATAAAGTAAAAAACATAAAAAGAAGGAATTGAATTATAAACTGGTAACAATGATTGTGTAGTCTTCTTTATCTTACTGTTTTGGGTAGGAATTCAAATATTCTACAATGACTGTAATGGAGTGGTGGAATTTTAAAAACCATACCCCCCACCCCCCTGAATAGTTTCATTTTCTCCACTAAATATCTGATAAGGTTTATTTAAGCTGCAACTTTTAATTTCTCTGGTGTTTAGTAATTTAATTATTACCATTTGGTCTACAAATAAGGTACATTTTTCTGCTCTTTCATATGATCGATGTTTTAATATCTTATTTATAAAGTGAAAATGTTTTAAGAGATATCAAAATAAGATGTGGTAATGACCAGTCACATTAGTAGCATATTCTACAAAATAGGAATAACATTAATTATGAAAATTATAAAATTAATTCAGTCTTTTACAGGAAACCATATAAGCAGTACTTGGCCCAATCCTCCTTAAGTAAATAACTGAAAGCAGTCATTAGCAATCTATTTTAGGAAATTATTTTTTGATATTAAAGAAATCAATGCTATGTTTTGAGGAGGCAGAAAGGCTGTAAATCTTAACAAGTAAATTGGGGGAAAATTTCTTCTTTAATGTACCATCAAGGCACACTTTAGTGCTATTTTGGCTAGACCAAGAGTTTGGCCTCCACACGAATCATTTGGAAAGCTGCTTCCCATAAAGTCATGGAATATTTCCAGCTAGTTACTCCAGTGTTCTGTCTGCTTTGCATTTTTTCCTCAATGAAATAGGACAATTAATAAACTCTGGTTACAGTACAAAGCCCAAGTTTCAGCAGCAGCAATATTATCTTTGGATCTGGATTGAGGGACATGAGTTATTCAAATACAGTTCAACTTTCAGAAACTTGGCCATTTGCAATGCACTTATTATTTTGAAATTCTTTTCTTTCTTGTGCTTTCCATCATTTTCCTCTTGCCTTTTTCTCCCTAATAGTGTTGTGCAGGTCATTCATTTACTGAGTGTCTACTATGCAACTGTATCACTAGTTCTTTTTTTTTTTTTTTTAAGTTTATTTATCTTTGAAAGAGAGAGAGAGAGAATGAGGGAGGGCATGGGTGCACCAGGGAGAGGGGGAGGGGCAGAGAGAAGGAGAAAGAGAGCCTCCCAAGCAGGCTCTGCACTGTCAATGCAGAGCCCAATGCGGGGCTCCATCTCATGAACCTTGAGATTATGACCTGAGCTGAAATCAAGAGTTGGCAGCTTAACCAACTGAGCCACCTAGGTACCTCTGTATCACTACTTCTGATCTTTTTCAATATGTAATTAAATGTCAATTTACCCACTAAATGTGGCATGATTTCAGAGAACTCAATGCAGAAAAAGCAAACAGAATGTTAGAATACTAGAAACATTCTCCTTTCAAATGGCACAGAGGTTGTGATATTGCATGTGTAGAGAAAGTTCTAGGGCCCCAATATACTGCTTGGCCCTGCTGTGAACAACATTAACACAGTCTTATCCTATAAGTGCTATTCATTAGTTTTCAACTTTTAGACTTATCTTACAGATAAAGCATGAATGCCTTACGTGTGATTACAAAACAGAAAGGAAATACTATCAACCTTGACAATACAAAGGTGTAGCAGGGAAATATGGAAAGTATGAAATAGGAGATGGCAGGTGAGAGAAAGGACACCACGCTAATATATAACATGGCAGAGAGTCAAGGGACACGATCTAAACTCCATGGAACAAAAATAAAAATTTAA